ACATATAGAAGATGTATTCAATTTAACGTCAAAGATAATTGTACAATACCAAAATCAATGACGTCTTTTTCTATGAAAGCTAATAATCAGTGCATGAGATAATGACTATAGGTACATTTAATAGACCACCGTTCTATGATATTATAATTGGCTGAGCAACTGAAACACTTGGATTTTAGGAAAACTATAATTGTTGATGCAGCTGTTAAATAGATGTTCCAGATGTATACCTATTTTGCCAATTCTTAAATTCTACATTGAAAAAAATCGTTTATAAAAATGCTCTTCAATTCTATTTAATTGATTTTTAATCATTTAATCAAGAAGAATTTGATTAACATTATGGAAGTAAAAACTCTCTTAAATCCATGTTGTATCTAAAATATTTGTGGCTCTTTTTTCTCTTGTTCATTCATATCATTCGTTAAATATTCTCCTCATAATAAAAAAATGTCTGTTTCTTCTTCTACTAAATTAATAACTCTTATTAATCCCTCGTATTTATTGTGAAACAATGAATGAACTTCATTCATGCATCACAAATTCAAAACGTAGTTATTTAACGCAAGCTGAACTTTTTCGTTATTATCGACAGAGACATCAAAATGCAGATATTCCTTATCGTTTATTAGATTATCGATCATTACTTGATTTACTCACAAGGAAACATTCCCAGATGTCGGAACGCTTTTCAGTCGGGGTTTCACGCACCTTGCAGTCCTTAGTGAGCTGTGTCTTTGGTAAAAAAGTTCGTATCCGTGGCTTGTTCCTAGCGAGATATCGATGTTTTAATGAATTTTCTTCGTTGGACCCTACTTTGACAGTACAACCATATTTTCGAATTTTGACATGAAACTTTGTCCACATAAAGTTCTCAACTAGACTAGCTCGCAAAAAAAATTCGGAATTTTTCGACGGAGTATCTTCCAGATATAAAGACTTAAAAAAATGTATTCTGTATATAACAGAGAAGTGCACCGCTCGTGCGGTCCGTCCGCCCCTTTGTGAGAAATGTGACTCATATGAGTGTGGCCGCACCGCTTCCGGATTTTGCCAGTGGGACTGGTGTGGAGCGGTCGGCCTCACCTAATTGACCGCCCGAGCGACCGCATGACCTTAATTTGACGATGTTGTGAAGGAATATCTTCTGAAATCTAAACCGGCAAATCCAAACCGCGTTTAATATTGTCAGCAGTGGCAGAATCTATCACAAGCAGAATTCAAGAATTTGGTTCGTTCTGCAAATATATATATGTATACATATACACGCGCACATATATATATATGTATATATACATATTGTGAAAAACAGAATGAAAGCAATATTCTTCTTGTTCATCAGAATTCATGGAATTTCGTTAAATTCATCAGTATTATTCAAAAACATCTATACTTCTATTTTTATTTTTTTTAAATAATCATTTATTCTGTATATTTATATTTGTTTTTAAATATAAGATATTTCTTTATCTTTATTTTATAAAGACAAGCATTACACCTATATTTATTATTTATTAGAAACAAAATCAAAAATAAATTCTCAGGAGAATCTTGGTTTCCGTCTAAGACTACAGATGCATATACTATGATAACATGAAACAAAATTCTACTTATGCATCAGAATTCTGATCAAAATGCTGCTGTAACGGGTGAGCCAGATTAAACGACGCACTTTTGTTTGCTGTCTTTGAGGTACTTAGAAATGGTTTTAAAATCCAGTTTGAACCTCATTCAATAGAGAATTCATTGCTCTACAAAACTGTCTATTTTGTTTTTCAAATAAGTTTTTCTTGTCGGCGAAAACTTTGAACGATGAATACCTACTCAATCGTCCAACTGCGCTATCCTATTTTTCTGCAGACATCTATCGATCTGTGTCAGCCTTTACTTCTCAAGTCAGATGCTAAAAGTAATATATTTAGTATCAATGGATAGAGAATGTTGTGCTCTACACTTCCACGACGTTTTCCAGACTCCTAGTGCTGTCTCTCAGGAGAAAAAGGTTTGAAGCCGACACTTGTCGATGTTTTTTGGGTGCACTTTGGAAAACCATCTTTTCAAAAGCCAGGCTTGCTCTATGAAAGGTTTTATTCTCATGCCGTCGGATGTAGAATTTAATTCTGTACTGAGTAATATAACTGTTACATTGAACCTTGAAAACATTTTGGTTGTTTCAAACTATAAAAGAAGAGTGGCATAGGTCTGTCAGAAAACGGTCTTTTTGCGGTGTTTTCACATGTTTTACTTCAAAAGTTTTTGTCCCAAATATTTCTTCTGAAATTCTCAAATATGCATTCACAGATGTAGAGCTTTATGAAGAATTTTATAGCATACTTGAAATTTCAGCGGAAACTTTATTAAAAATTTCTCATCGTTTTTTGGGTTTTTTGACTGTCGCAGTTGGACGATTGGAGTAGGTATTCATCGTTCAAATTTTTCGCCGACAAGAAAAATTTATTTGAAAAACAGAATAAACAGTTTTGTAGAGCAATGAATTCTCTATTAAATTAGGTCAAAACTAGATTTTAAAACCATTTCTAAGTACCTCAAAGACAGCAAACAAAAATGCGTCGTTTAATATGACCCACCCGTTACAAATGGAAATCTGAACAGAATTCTTAACTTATCATATCAACATAATATGAAGAAACATATGGATAACGGGGAATATACGCGCTACAGACTTCTTACATTCTACTTGTGAGAATTCAGCCAGCCCTCTGACTATAACTTTTCCATAAAAGCTATCATTATCTATAGGATAGTTCCGCTATTGTTCAATAATTTTTCCATCACATCGATTTATTTCCAGATTTATTGAATTACCTTGAAGAGAGCTTACGGAATCAATATATTAAACAGTATTTATCAAAGCTAGTTGTTGCAATGAAATAAGAAAAAAATCACGAAAAACAATTTCAATGGGCCTCGAGCGGCCGCTCGTTGGTTATCGGACGGCTGCACTATATGACTTTTTGCATAAAGAATGGTGCAGCCGCTGCGCTCACTAAAATGGCTTACGGAGTGGTCCGTACCGCCGCCACTATTTGAAAGTTTAAATCTGATTTTCCGCCGCCGCTCGTCTGTTTTTAGGGGCAGTGCACACCTCTGGTACATTGACTGCAGGAATAGAAAGATATTTCCGTATAGATATGCTAATTTCAGCATCAATCGGCCATGAGATTATCAGAATGAAATACAATTGTGTTCGTTTTTCCGTAGAGAAGATAATTTGCTTAATTCTTGTTGAATTGTAAGACCATTTAAACGTTTATATCTATCATCCGTCAAGAATTTTCTTCTCTTAAGCAACGTTTCCATTCAATGATAATTAAACAAAATCTCAAATGAAAAACACTTAGTCTCTATTTAATTCAAAATGAGAAGATGTCGGAAGCATAAAATATCTTCATAGTAAATTTTGATTAATGTTTAAACTAAATACATGCGTTTAAGTTGAATATTTGTCCAAATTTTCTCTTCCGATGACGCAATTTGTATCCTCAACAGAGAAAACATACGTTTCAAGAGCAGCAACAATGATTTTTGACTTTCATGCTACATAAAATAGCAATACAGACGCCAGTTTTTGTTCATTTCTCTAAACAATCTCAGTTCAAGTTCTGGGGATCATGAATTTGCAAGTTTTTCCCGCTCTCGTCAGGGTCCCTAATGACAATTGTCTTTCCAAGTTGACACTCTAGAAGTTTCCTTCTAAGATTTAAATCTTAGCTTTTTATAATTTTTTCCTCTGTTGTGATGCATATAGATTAACGAATGCATAGGAAAAAACTAATAAGACTGCCAAAAATCTTTCTATGTTTGAGAAATAATCGTGACTAAAGTTATTTTGTTCCTTTTTGATTGATAGAACCAATTGCTGAAAAACATTAAAAAACAACGTTTTGAGATTTATCAAGGGTACGCACAGGAATAAGGATACCCGTGGATAGATTTGAGTGAGAATGAAAAGGAGTCGCCACACTAGGGTTTTACATAGGATAGGATACGACGAAAAAATTCGTGGCATGGGATTATCCTCGAAACATTTTGAATTTCATAATTTTATTATAACCAAGTTCACATTTCTTTTTCTCTATGAATATAAACTACTTCTAATTTCACTTGAGTTTCAACACCACTTACTAACGGAGATCTTTTTCTTGTACCAAGAGATAATGTTTGAGCACAATTATGTGCGTTGAGTACTGGTGTACCAGAACTCGATATAAATGCATACGGCTGAAAATATGATTGACGATTGACAAAACCTGGAAATTTGTTCAAATTTTTCTTTTATACAAGATTTGTTGACTGGAAAATCAAAAAACCGACGACAACTTATTCTTTGTATTCTTAATGGCTTTATATTTTGATGGATCTTTTTCTAGTAAGCAGGTAATTCATTTAATTGTAAATTCATGAACAACAGATGGAGAATCAACAATAATAGATGATCATAAAGTGATGATAGAAGAAGAGGAAAAAGACACTCATTTCGAAACGATTTCTGTCCCATGCCACAGGAAGCGCTGATCCACACTCACATCCAACATGGGTCTTACGCTTGCAATGCACATGTTAAGTTGTTTGTATCATCTGGCGCTATTACTACTAACTGATATATCAAAGAGTTAAGTAACAAGAACTATCACTTCTTTCGCATTTACTAAATAAAAATGTATCATCATCGATAGTATTGGCTGTTGATTTAGTGCTCTAACAACATGCTCAAAAGTCTTGTTAAACTTTTTGATCTACTCAGAATCCTCTTCAGGTATTTCTAGTATATTTACAAGTATTTCATATTAAAAACAATAGCTGAGAGAATATTAAGAAAAACTTCATATACCATGACTCTATCACAATGATGTATTTTTGTAGACATAAACAAGAAAAAACATAATAGCGGTCAAAACAGAAAAAAATAAATAAATAAATAAAATGTGAATTGTGAATATCACGTTTTGAAAAGAATGATCAAACAATTGACTCGTATATCATTCTGTGTTATCCATTTCAAGTAAAAAATTTGGTATCTAAATAAAACACAAGAGTAATTATTTGAAGAAAATATCGTTTCTTTTTTATTATCAATTTACTGTTAATCCAGCCGATTGAATTATATTTCGACATTTTTTCAAATGATCTTCATAAGTTGAACAGAGAACAAGTAAATCATTTTGTTCTTTTAGATTTTGTTGATAAGCAAGATTTAATTTTTGATATTCATTATTTAAATTAGCTTTTTCATCGATTATTTCTTGCATTTGACCTTGAAGACTCTGTTGAAAAAGAAACAATATCAATGGAAATAGAGTACAATTGTAGATATTATACTTCAAGTATTGAAACTTTTCTTTTTTCGTTGGTAACTTTTTCTTGCAAAATATTATTTTCTAATTGAAGACGAGCTATTTCATCATTTTGTGCTTTACATCTAAATCAATAATCCAACATATACCATAAAAAGAAATATTCTTTAAAAATAAAATTTTTTTACCGTTCATCAAATGCTTTTAGTTTTTCTTGTAATTCACTAATTTGAGCATTCAATACTGCTTGTTCATTTACATGATTTTGTTCATCATTCTAAGCATAGTTTTAATATTAAATTAATCCATAGAAAATGAGCTACCTTCACAGTTTGATTATCATTGTTATTTAAATTAATTTGCTCAATGCCATTTTCAATTCTATAAAACATTAAAAATTAAGAATCGAAATCCTTGTTTATCAATAAACATACGGCTGTGTTAAGTAGTAATATTGTTGTTGTTGATATGCCTACGAAAGATTATGTTTTAAACGTAAGTCAGTGATTTATAGATTCAATAGAGAGCTAAGTGTATGCAAGGTATACTTCGAACATCGACGGGGAGAAGAAACAACATTTTGTCCAGGATAATGTGTTTAAAAAAAACATAAGTAACTAATTATTTGTTTTTACAATGATATTTCGAGCTAATCAAAATTAGGAGACACATATCCCTTCTTACTATCTAAGCTGTAATCAATGTTTCTTCGACTGAGAAATACCTTAAAAAATTCTATCTTTTTTTTCTTGTTGAGGAAGAAAATTGTTTTTATATACTATTGAAAACTTTCTCGATACTTTTAATGCCGATAGCGTTCAGATTAGCGACTATCTTTCCAGAAAGAACAACTGTTCAAAATTACCTCGAACCCAACTTTCAATCTTTAAAAACTATGATTTCATTTACCGAAATGAAAATATTTTTTCGTCTGATAAAAATCCTACGTCTGTACTAACCATGGATGCGAGTGTTGATTTTGTCTTCATCAGCACCCACGTAACATCCACACCCAGTATATTAGAAGTGAGGAAACAAAATTGAACATTTAAATGATCAATTAATGTATGATACAAGACATTTAAAAAAGAAACTTCAATTAAAAAATGTAGCCAAGGGTCCCTTTAAAGTGTTTTTTTTTCTTTAAAGTTTGTTTTCTAAGTCACACACAAACACTTCTAAACACAAGGAAAACTATTTCCGAACAAGAATGTAACTTGTCCGTTTGTCATACGAAAAATTTAAATCATCTTCTCGTCCGGTTTGCCTTGAGGAAAATACTACTAGTTGACAGATGTAGAAAATCTTGCATAAGAAAATAGTCATTGAATGAAAAATCCATTTTCATACCATCATATTTCTTAAATATTCTAATTCCATTTGTTGTTGTTCACATAAGGTTCTTAATCTGTCATCAGAATCTTGTTCTAGTAGAAAATATCGAAACATAAATGCTAAAAATATATTTTCCGTTTCATTTACTTTGTTCAGATGAAAAATTCAATGAAGTATTTTGACCACGAATTTCTTGTAATGATTGTTCTAATTCAGCAATTTTCTTTTGATACAAAACACGTTCTTCAAGAAACTGTTTTTCTTGCTGTTGGTAGATATTTATTTGTTGACTTTGTTGTTGAATTAAATCCGTATATTGTGCTAGCATTGTTGATGATTGATCAGATGATCTTGGCTGTTCATCATTTGTACGTGTTGTTAATAATCGTGTAATGGATCCTTCAAGAATTTTATATAAACGAGTAAACTCGTAATCTAGGACCATATCATGTGATTTTGAGAGCTTTAATTGAGGTTTTCGTAAAGCTTTAGCATAATAATCGGATTTAGAAAGTAATTCAAGCTTCTCTTGAAAGAGATCAATACCAATACGTTTTTTTATAATTCGTTCAAGTGATTCACTAGAAAAAAAATACGATCAACATTTATATCCCATGAGAAAATCACGGTGAAATTTCAAGACATATTGAGATTTATCATCTGCGAACTTCTTAAGGTTGTAACGTTAGAAAGTCTAGCATGATCTAGTATTTCTTGTATGCAAAATATCAATTCAAATGGACACAGATACCTGGGAATGTGGCGTCGTAAGTTTTAATTTAGCTCGATCTATTAACAGGATAATTTTTAATCAACATTGGTTCAATGAACGATCAAATCCCATCCATAAAGTCTTTAAAAAAAAGGAGTTTAACAGCTGGTATGATTCAGATGCGGTGTGGGTGGGTGAACATCTCTTGTACGTATCACGTGTGATGTATTTTTCTGTTTTTATACTATTCTCTGCAAACCTTTTCTTTTCTCATTTATTCATGATTTTAAACTTACGTTGAATAACTTGATATTTGATTATTATTAAAAATTAAACATAATCCAAAGGCAAATGCACATAATGATTGGATAAGAGTTTCACGATCATCTGTAGCTGATTGAGCACAAATCTGTGAAATCAGCTAAAGTAACAAGGAAAACACATGGTTAGTTTAGAGATAAAGTTATATTAGTTTCCCATACATAAGAAATACTATTTTGAATGGAAAGGAAGGCTTGTACAGCTAATGTACAATTCGATAGCCATGTACATAGAAAAATAAGTATAGAAATACGTGTATGAAACGATGATGAAGACTATTTATAAAAATAAATAAAAAAAAATATTTCGATAAAAAATTTATAAATATACGTTTTCTAATAGATCAATGGATATCTCCATTAATGTTTTAGTATTAGATTGAGATTGATCAATTGCAAGTACAACTTTAAGTACAGCTTCTTTAAGTTGTTGATTATCAATAATTAAATGTGCTAGAGCAATACTTGAACACCATGAAGCAACGATATCTTTACTTAGATAACCAATAATTAATAAATGACCTAATGTATATAGATTAGTTGCTAAAAGAGAAAAAAGAATTTATTAAAAAATTACACGTGAAAAAGAAAAATAAACGAACTATTCGCTGTTTGAGGTAAAAGTGTCTGAACAATCATTGATTTTCCATAATCATTTTTATATAAATAACATTGAAAACAGTAAAGTATAGATATTCGAAGTGAAAATAGTTGTTTTTCTCCAGTAACCATTGTATAAAGAAGACTTAATAACACCGGTCTAAAAGTCAATATGTTTCTCTATTGAATAAATAAATGTATCAAAAATGTTAAACTAACTGTGGAGTTTCACCCGTATTATTCATCACAGAACCCAAAAATTGTTGATTTTCGTTGCTACCACGGACAATATCACCAATTGTATTAATCGCCTATCAATATATTAACCTATCGTTGTTTTATAGAACTATACAACAAAATAACTTACTTCAGCTAAAACATCAGGTGGGATAGTTGTCATTGTAAGCATAACACATAAACGATGTAAAAGACCTGTTAGAAAATAATAAAAATCATACAATATTCGGTTTCAATTATTCTGTTTAGTACACCGACAGATGAGCCTCCCAACATTTGAGCCTTACATAAGGAATAAATCTACATTCATTTTAAAAATTAAACAGAACTCTTATTCGTGTTAAATTATAAACCTCTTCTTATTAAATGAAAAGTCAAAATTAGTCATTATATTTTTTAATCAAGAAGTTTATGCTTACGAGTGGGTGTCGATCTTTCATTCACTCGTACTCACATTCCAAACAATCATGAAGACTACTACCAATGGAGGAGAGAAGATTCGGAGCCGTCAAAGTACTTCTCTCTTGAATAGTGAAAACTGCAGATCTTTGTGATGTTCCTATCAAAATTTATTCAACTGTATAGGGTGTTGCATGATTATATGCATTTTTTTATATTGAATTGAGCAACATGATAATGACTTTATGTTTTGCTGAATTAATCGATGAAGGCTCAACTGTCGTGTCACGATTCTGTTTTTTTACCACATTGACTAATTGAACGTTGACATGCAGCAATATTTTGATTTGAATTTGTCGGTGAGACAAGTGTTCGAATAACCTAAATACATGAAAAAAAATTATATATGTTTTTTAAACTAATCTTCTCATTTCTTTTTACTTGTAAAAAAAGATTAATATTTGTTTCTTTTTGTTTTGGCCAATGCTTGTCACCAATTGAATTTAATGCAAAACAATCAACTAAACGTCGAATAAAAGAACTTTCACGAAAATAACTTTGATTTGATGGATTATTTTTTAATAAATTTAATAAAACAGATAAACAATCTTCAACAATAACACCTAAAAATTTCGAATAAATAATATAGTGAGGAAAAAAAGGACTAGAGATTTACCTCCATCACTACCGCCTTCACTTATAAGAATTTCAAATAAACGTTCAAAACCATTTTCAAATGCAACTATTTTTTGAATATTTGCATTCGAACGAGTTAGTATTTGAAGTAGAAGAAGAGCCTATTAAAAATTAAACTAAAATAATTTTGTACTAAAAATAAACAACTTACATCATTTCGAATAACTTCACGTTCATCTTGTAAAAGATCGACTAATTTCGAAACACCCATAGGTCCACTTTCAAGTATAATATCTTGTAATATTTTAGTACAATTAGTAAGAAGTATAGTAAGAAATCTTATAGATGTACGACGAATATTAAAGTCAGTTTCCTAACATGGAAGAAAGAAAGAAAGAAAGCATTTCATAACTTTTATAAATGAAATCTTACTTCAATAAGATCGAGAGCTGTATGAACATGTTCTTTATTCTTAATAAATAATTCTAAAATAAATATTTATTTTTCTTATTATATTATCACAAGAATTCTACCTGTAAATTGAATAGTTATATCTTGTGGTAAATTCGGTTGTTCTAGAAGACATATTAAAAAAAATATAAGAAAAAAATTAATTCTTATCATACCATCAGTATTATTGACTTCATAGCTCATTATATTAGATAATGTTTCTAATGATAATTGTATAAGATCCAAATCAGTTCGATCACCTTGTAAAATATTTGCTAATAAAATCATACTTTTTGTTCCGACTTCAAGTTTACATTTCTATTTATTTTTCAATAAAATTACAAAAAAAATATAATACAACAATGTATTTTAAATTTTGACTTACTTTAGAATATCCTTTAAGACCACGTACAGCATCTCGTCGATCTTCAATACGTGTAGCTAATTGTAGACGATCACAAAGACGTTCGATCTGTAAATATATGAAGAATTCGTCAAAGTAGAAGAACGATATTTGATGTTTATGTGTCATGTTTTAGCCCTGCAAGCAGAGTGCGACAAAGCCTTAGGATTATCCATGGAAATAGAAGCAGCTGTAATCATATCGTACCGTTTCTTGATTAATTGTATTTTCATTTACGGGTGTTGTCAATGGTGTTGATGACGAAAATAGCGAAGTACCACGCCAAAATGCCATTCTAGATTTTAAATAAAAGTCAAATAGAGATGAGTCCTTGATAAAAGAAGAAAGCGATGGTTTTTATTTTAAATAGACTCAATCCAAAAATGCGTCGTCGTCATCAATTCATGGACATTTTATTTAACTGATAGATTTATTAATCAAAAGAGGTCTCTCATAGACAGTCATTAAGTTTCTACTAATCTATTTGCTATGAAAGTTTAAGTATAGAAAATCGAGTAGAGTTCAACTTTTGAGGAATTCAATTCTTTCTATACGAATCTCATGCTCATAGGGATTACATAAAAATTAAATAGATAATGCAACAAATTGCACATTGTATTTTTTAAAGTATCTACTTTGAGAAGCTACGTGATCGAGAGATGAGAACGATATTGATAGTTTATTTATTGACCTTTTGGTAATCCTTTTCCGTATTCATACAGTAGCTTACAACAATTATTCGATCAGATTTATTTTCAATTTTTTTGTTCTCTGCTGTAAACGATCATAAAACTCCAAATAGTGATATATGTAGAGAATTTTATTTTCAAGAAGAAATTTTCAAAGATGAAAATGATAGTAGATTTTCTGAGTTAATTTATCATATCCTGTAGATGTGGATAGGTGCGTGGATTAGAGTATTAATGAGAGCACACAAAAGATGTGCACTCACATCGACACCCATATCGCGATTCTAGAAGAATTCATTGCTTTTTTAAATAAAATTCGATAGATAAACACAAATAGATAAGAAGCTTTTTTAGATGACCTATTATACTTTGATCTTTTATTTAAAAAAAATTCATTTAACAAAAGAAGACGTCAAACCAGTCTCCACTAATAAATCGGTTTATTAAAAAAACATTCATCTTCTTCCAATATGGAACAAAAAAGATGTGTAAGAAAAACAAGATAACAAAGAATCAATAACAAGAAGAAATTTCAAACAATGCTTATTCTTCTGTATCTGACATTATTTTCTTTTTTTTATTGGTGAAGATGATAAATTTTGTTTTTCTTTATCATTATTAGTATTTGTTGTATTCGTTTCTTCCATTTCACTTCTATGTCGTTTGTGTTTTTTCTTTTTTTTATGAACAACTTGTTCTATAGGTTCAGTTTTGTCACTTGAAATTTCACCATTGATTGTGATAATGTCAGCAGCCTTAATCGATTGATGTTTCGATGAACTTGAATTAGTATTTTGATCATCATTGAGTTTTGTAACCTCTTGAAAAAGTTTATTAATAAAATAAATCAAATTTTAATTGAGAATAAAATCTTACCTGTTGAGCTTTGCGATTTGGAAGACTTTTGCTTTGATGCTGTCTAAAATAAATATAGAAGTAGATCCAACATTAATTATCGAAAAGTAATTTGATGAAATGTTCGTTCATATTTCAGCCTTTGCAGAAACTTTAAAACATTAAGTTTGAATTAAAAATTTGTATTGTTTTCGAATACAAGTTCAATGTTTCTCTGACAATTCTGCTTTAGAAGTTATGAGTTGTTCTTTTAGAGGCGCAAAACTTAAGTTTTTAACTCACTGTTGACAAATGACTTGCAGAAAATTCATCATTAGTATATAATTTTATGAAAAACTGTTTGTTCTTTCATTCGTTGTATTGACAATAATTTTCATTTCTAGTTTTGAGTAAGTTTTGGTGCGCTCAAGTTCCTCCAATTTCATTTTATGAACCTTGAAAAAGTTCGTCCATAATACTCACTTGGATGATTTCCCTCATCTAGTAAAATTAAATCAGAAAAGTCCATTATAACAGTTATTATATTCAATTATATGGAAAAAAAGGATGTGCTGATCTTGAAAAAGCTATTTTTCTTAATAAATTATCACCTACTGTTTCATCTATATATTTATTCATAATTTTCCCAAGGTGTTCAACAAGTTTTTTCTGTTCGTTTGTTAAATTGGTTGATAATAGCTCTTGTTTTATTCGATCAAAATCATCGATAACATTAGAGTCCATTTTTTGTTTTTGTACTAAATATTGAGTAATTTTTAATTGTCCATCATCTTTTTCATTAACTTGATCTTTTATAGCTATGTCATAATCCTTAGCTGCATATTTAACATTACGAAAAAATTCCAGTTTCATATAATCCGATGGTAAAGTTTTTTCAACAAATTCAATCAATTTTTGATGATATTCATGTTTAAGTTTTGATGAACGTTTTATATATTCATCTTTTGTTGTTTGAGATAAATCAGTCCAATTTTGTTGTGAATTTGTTTGTTGTCTTTCATTGTTATATAAATAAAGTGCACTTACCGGTGGTCGTACTGGTAAACCAAGAGAAGAAAAATAATAATGTATATCATCATTTTTTCCTAATAATAAATGAAGTGTTGGAATTTGATCTTCAGATATTGTTGGATTTGATTCAAGATATTCTTCCCATTTTTTAGTTGATTTTAATATAAATTTATGTCTTTTTTTTTCACTTAATTGATTAAATAATGATCGTATATAAGCATTTTTTGCTGTTGAATTTATGAATGTTGGCTTTTCATCATCAGAAACTTTTTTTTCATAATAAAGAATATCTGGTTTACATTTATGTAGTTTATCAAGTTGAATTCGAGTTAATTTTTGTTGATTATCATTTGTAGTTAGTTGAAAATTTTCAGGTAATGATTGAACAGATTTACGACGTTGACGTATTGGTACTGGATTTGTATTTTCATCATTATTATCATTAACATGTGAACCATGATGAGCTTGATTAATAAATGATAAATATTCTACTTTAAGATGTTCAGGTAAATTTTCAGAAAAATTTTTTGTTTGAGCAGAATATTCATTTTTAGCCTAAAAATTATTCATTTTTTTTAATGTATTGATTACAAAATGACTTACATCATTTAACTTTTGTATATAATGTTTCTTTTTCTCTGCACTTAATAATTTCCATGCTTTTGGATTATTATCATTTTCTTGTTTTTTAACTTCAGCATAATAAGCCGCTGCTGTACTAAAATAAAAATGATTTCTTATGATAAATATCAGCTATTCGAATTATTTAGTAAGACAAATTATTTTTATTGATTTACAAATGAACAAGAGAAAATAAACGTTTTAACTTTGACTTTTTATTGAATAACATTGTTTTGTTTACAACAGCTCTCATTTACAAGAATGAGTAAAGAATATATTTCAAACTTATTTTTATTATATTATTAATATGAAAAGTCCGTTCTTCAACGTATCCTGTATTGATAGATGTTTGCTAATGTTGTGTCATGAAAAAGAAAGATATTTTCATAGTACCGCATGTATTAGAATAATGTTTCACAAAATATTCGAGAAAAGACTATGTGATTGATTTAGTTACACTGAAATCACTCGTCTTTATTTTATTTCTTATAAGATACAGTTTCACTTACTTCACTGGTTTTGTTGGTGCATTAATTGATTCAAAATATTTTTTTTGTTCTGTTTTTGACAAAAGGTTTTCGAATAATTTGCCTTCGACTTGCACATGTTCATTTATACTTTTTTCATCCTATAAATTGCGTTAATATTATTTGATATTTCTATTAAAAACAAGAACAAACTATACTCACAAGTAATTGAATATATTTATCAATAGCTTTTTGAATATATTTTGTTTGTTTTTCTGTTGGTAATTGAAGAAATTTCGATCGTAAAGCAAATGGGTTAGTCTATTAAGAAAATTAAAAGAACCAAAAATTTTTCTATGAAAATATTTCATTACACATACTTCATTTCCTTTCTTTTTTTGTTTCTTAATAAATAAACGTAAAGGTCGATATGACTTAATTCTACAACATTCATCAATACAGAAAAAACAATCATCTACTTAATATAAAAAAATTCTTACTCTTGTAAAATTCCTTCTGAAATCAAATTATTAGAAACATTTTGGCGACTTTTTTTTGTCATTGTGCACTACAATATCTAAAAGATAACGATGAAAATATTTGTTTCTTGAGCTTTCTTTTATATATATATATATATATATATTATTTATTTTATTATCTTAATTATTAAAATAACGAAAGATACATTTAATATAATTTTATAAGCAAAAAAGCCAAACAAAAAGCATAAATTAAAACAGAACCAAGCAGTATTTATCCGTCACCATTATCATACAAGGAAAAAAAGAATATTTTATTTTGTTCGAGAAAACAATGCAGAGATTTACATATAGTAAACCCACCAAAGAATTTTTTTTTTAAAGATTTATATCTACAATATGAATTAACAACGATGGCATAACATATATGTGTGTATGGACGGCGAATGGAATTATGAAGATTGTATATGGGTAAGACGAATAAGTTGCGGACCCGATTGATGGTTATTATCAGGTTTTAAAAGATTTTTTGGTGATAATTCATTGACCGCATGAGTTTTTCGAGTTTTAGAAAATTTTGGTATTGTAGGCTAAATAAGAAAAACAAAATAATAATTTAATAAATAAATAAATATATAAATAATTAAATAAATAGATTAGTGTGACTAAATAATAAACATGTTACTAATACTAGTTACATAAAGCATGCAAAAATTAGTGCAGATAAATAAATAAGCCTTACAATAAATCATTCTCGTAGTTGCAGTGTTTTTTATGCTTAACTCGATACTAAAATCGAGTTTGAATCACATTCTAGATAAGTCGACAAAAGCACAGAAATATATTTTATGTTGCATTAAAAAAAATACTTGTTTCTTTTTAAGGGAAAAGCAATAACATCTAAGGGAAAGTTGAGCACATACAAAAACACAACCGCGTGAATATAGTCAAAAATAGCAAATAACAACAAAGATATAATATATATATATATGATTGAGATTTCATATATTAACATTGTCTAGAAAAGCAATACTCTAACTCATGCGCAAAAAAGATATTTCACTGATTCATTAATATGATGATAATAGTAATTGGTCGCTTTCTTCGAATAATCCATTCGTGGTTTAATTAATGTGACAAAGTTTTCTTTTCATTTTGTCACAACAGAAAGATTGTAATCTTCTGAATAAAAATATGAGATGAACCATCGTCAATTATTATTGATCAGAACATCTAAACGAAGTTGAATATTCCAGACATAGTCTATTCGATGGATCATTTTAAAATCGAAAGAGTTTAATGCGAATGATAGAAAATATAACATTGATACAACAAATAGGAGAAATACAATTCGACACATGTGCAGTATTATTAAGTAAAGAACTCCAACAACAGTTAAGTAAGATAAGAAATTGAGGAAGAGGGAAAGCAAAAGTGCAATTATCAAACTAGATGTTTATTCCTGTTTTTGAGGATACACACACGCACACTTTAGTAGAGGTAGCAAGAATACAACATTAATATCCATTCAAGTGTACGTTTTTTAACCCATTCTTATAGACTATATAATATTTTAATTCACTCGTATGATATTCTTTCTCTCTTACTTCAAATATCATTTTCTCCTGTTTGTTGTTTTGGTGGTGGTACTGGTCTGTGGAATATTTGGTGTATCATCGTTGAAAATTGGGTGTACTCTGTTTCTTAACTAGACAAGATAGAAGTCTAATAATCAATGATGACAAAGATAGAAGAAAAAAAAAGACAAAAGAAATTTAAGATTTTCTTTATATATAAATAGAAAAAAAAGTAAAGAGAAAAACCACCAAAAAACAAAAAGATTTTAAAAATTAAATTTCGATTCTACTTACGTTGGTTGTATGTGATGGTTGTCGATTATATGTAATAGATTTCGATTGCATTCGTCCAGATGTAATTAAAGGACCCCAACCAGGTTGTTGTGAAAAAGCATAACCTGATCGAATTGATCGTTTACTTTGACGAAGTTTATGTTGTATATGCGCAACAAATGCTGCTTTTTCTTCAGTACGGAATTTTTGATTTAATCGTGCACGATCAGTTTTATTTGGCATAAATCGCATACGAAAAAATCTTTAAATTATTCAATTATAGAAATTATTTTAATTTCAAATAAGAAAATGACATACTCTCGACAAAATACCGGTAATAATAATATAGCACATGTCAAAAATAATGTAAACCAAAAATTTCCTGTTGATAAAACAGCTTGTGCAACACCAACATATCCATAATTAGTTTTAAAAATACTCCAAATTATTGTTGAATATAATGCAAAATGAAATAGAAAATGCACAACTATTGTACCCCATAAAACAAAATGATATAAACCAGTCCAATACCATGTTTCAAGTGCATTTTCTAAATTAACAATAATAGCCATTATTGTTGCAACTATAAAACCAAATGATTGTAAATCAGCTTGTGTCATGCCACCTGGTCGGGTAGTGTTCGATACAGATAAATATGGAACAAAAAATATAATACATGATGTTAATATACCATGTATTACACTTTCAGCAAAGATTTTTTTATTAAAAAATTCATTATTTTGACCAGGTGTATATCTTAAATACAAAGTAGTTGAAGATTTAGCCTAATAAAGATAAGTGAAGACTTACAGATGAGGTTTGCTCAATGAATGATCAGCACTAACATCCTAAAAAATTGGAAATATGTTTTTTCAATAATATATCAAAAATAGAAGAGATTTATGTTTGACATACTTGATCAAAAACACCCAATGCCAGAACTGGTAATGAAGAAAAGAAAACATTATATGTTGCCACAAAGAATGGATCATATAATGTCTAATAATAAGGAAAATAAAGCATTCTATTTTGTTTTTTCTTCTCTATATAACTTACTTGTGCTGAAAAACCCGAAAAAAATCCAAACCAAAAATGGCATAATGTAAATGCAAAATTTTTATAGAAAAAATAACGTAAAAATTTTGAAATTCTTAAATATGACCAACGACCATGAACAAGTAATAATCTTTCAAGATAACGAAATTGTCCAAAACTATAATCACTTGCTAAGACAGCTTGTCGACCTTCTTGTCCACTAATGCCAACACCAATATGTGCTTCTACAAAAAAAACAAAATACATATATATTTTTATTTTTCTGGATTATTAAACAGCATATTTTTTTTCTGTGTCGTACTTTGTATCATTGATACATCATTTGCACCATCACCAATAGCTAAAGTAATTTTTTTTTCATTTTGCATAACTAATTCAACAACTTGAGCTTTTTGTAATGGTGTTACACGACAACAAACAACAGCTTTACACATTGTACCAAGTTCAAGAAATTTCATTTTTAATTTATCTTTTAATGCATATCCTAATGCTTGACCTGTTATTAATAAACCAAAACCGTCAAATTGTTCACGATCTTGAGGATTTGTATCCATTGTTGTTGTTGTTGCATGACCATTTTGACGTTTTGCATTACCATTATTATGATTATCATTCCTTCTATGTTGGTCAAATTTCATAACATCAATTCCCCAATCTTTCCAATCAAGTCTTTTCTTTTTATCTTGAATATTAACATCAAATAATTGTTCAATTTTATTAATCATTTTCTCTCGAACTTCTTGTAGTTTTCTGTCAACACCATCTTCATTTTCTTCTTCAATAAAATGAGTATCCATATCAATTGTTAATAAACGACATGAAAAACCAATATTGTAAGCAGTTTCTAAAATAATGTTCAATTAAACAAACAAACAAATTAAATTGAATGAAAATTCAACTTACCAATTTTATCGCCAGTCAAAACCCAAATTTTAATACCAGCACGTGCCAAACGTTCAATACATTGGGGTACACCATCTTGTAATTTATCTTCGATAGCTGTAGCACCAACTAACTTGAGATGCTTTTCTATTTCTTCATATGTATCTTTGACTTTTTCTTCTCGTTTTTCCATACTCGTACTAAAGAATAAAAATTCTTTTATTGAAGAATGAAAGTTTTAAAAGGTATTCTTTTTTTTTTCGATATATGAATTCATAGATTATAAGGTTTAATGCTAACGAAAGCTTATCTATGTTCTTTAATTATCGTTAGCTATGAAATAAGTATTGAGAGGCTATCGAGATTTGTCTATTGATAGCATATAATGAATGTTAACGGTATCAAAAAAAGAGTCATAGATCTGAAAAGTCAGCCCTTAGTCTCAGTCAGATGCCTACCTAGGCAGTTTTAGGAGATGACATTCTGCTGTTTAAACCAGTAAGTATTGTCCATAATTACCGTTTATTATTCCAAAACGTATCAAACGTTTCGGTGCCGTTTTTTATGCTAGATTTCTTACTACTTTTTGCTTCGACACGGCATTTAGATATGATAAAAGATAATTTTAGACAATACATACAACCAGAGATAATATTGACTCACATTTTTTTTTGTCCCGAAAGCGAATTGAGTCAAAACTTATAGACAAGTTAACAAATGTATTAGAGTATCAGACGTAGATAGAATTGATTCACGTGTTTTTTTTTATTGGAACCGAACAGGTGTCATCTCTGACCCTAGTTTAAACGACAAAGTGCTATTTCCTGAATTGTTTGGGTGTCCGTCAGGCTAACTCTTTTCGTTCGATAATAAGATGTATAACAAGGATTTATAGAAAAGTCCTGAAAACTGCTTTGAAGAACTACAGGTGTTAGGATAATTCGTCGCATGATACGTTAGTTATAAAGCATTCTGATGGGTTAGTCGATGTGAGTGAGGATACCGGTGAGATGGTACATAAAAAGGTTTCACTCACACCGACATCCACACATCCACGACGAATTGTCCGATCACTGAAATTCTAATATCTTGAAGTTCACTGTTTTCTCTTTTGAGTTTTATTTGAAGTAATAACATACTTTGCTTTATTATATTTTTCAGCCCATGTCCTATAATCACTTTCATTCAATTCTCTATATGCTAAACAAAGTGTACGAAAACCATCCGTAGCAAATTTCTACAAAAAAAAAACAAAAAACAAAAACTAATAATAAGGTACAAAATTGAAAATTTCA